TCAGATATTGTCCAAGATTAACCTTCAGGGTGGATATAGCTCACTCACACAGAGGACCTATCCACGTCATCATTTACCCAGAATGCTTTGTGTGCAAATAAAATGGCCCCGTCCATGTAATATATTTTGAAAATTTTCGTTTAAAAATGATAAAAACTAAACATCCTACAGTATTTTTGCAGTCTCCATTTTACAGTTAAAATATACGTTTATCAAATAAAGTCTATGTTACAACTAATCCTGGATCCCTTTAAGAGCAGCAACAACCGTTTTGGTGGATCTCACTTACATTCAGGTTTTGTTGGACCAGAACTGAGGGAGGAAGCGCTGCAAAATCTTACCGAGGTATCCGAGGGTCGTGCCAGGTGCTGACCCCAGTCTGCGTGTGAAGGAAGTACACCTGGCCCTGAACGGTTGTTCGCTGCTCTGTTTTTAATAAATCAAATTAAAAAGGTGTTACAAACTGGTCAGTTTGTTTTGGGTTGGTGTAATCATAAAGTTCTGAACGGACCGTAGCCCTCCGGCAGGTCAGGCGGCTGCTGATGCCCGTGAGGTCTGTTCTGAGGGGTGTTGCCATGACCTCTGGAGTCCTGCCCTCTGATTCGCTGTGACTGAAGACGGCTCTCCTGACCCGGGGAGTCCAGCCGGCAGTTCCCGCCCCCCGCAGCACCAGTGGGGTCAGAGTAAGGCAGCGGTTCCTCACTGAAGCACCCCTCAAAAACAGGCCTATATAAGAAAAAAAAAAAGAAGAGAAAAAAGTCTACTTRAACCTATAACCCTAGGCACATCATGGGTCAACTCCTTTTTGAAAATAACTCTCTGTCAGACATGATCGACACAACCATCAGACTCACGCATCGTTTTCCAACAGTCCTCTGCAGTCCACAACAGGGCCGCCGCTGCCGATCCGATCTCGTGTCTGTAAGCTCACTGAAACAAGAAGGATGTGAGGGTCAAAGAGCAAAACTGAACCCCAACATCAAAGAGTAACAAGCAGTAAGTGAACCAATTTAGACCTGAAACGATTCATCACATAACTCAAAAAACTCTTTCAAAAAAAAAAAAAAAAAAAAATCTGGGATGTTTTGTTTATTTTACCTCTAACTACACTCTGCTTAGTTGTCACTGTGTTTCACAAGAACAGTTACTACTGTTGGACCACATCCTAATGATACGTTACATGCAAKGGAAGAAAGAAAGAAAATAAAGTTGTTGTTTTATTTTCAGAGAGAAAAAGGCCAAAAGTTTGAACTGATTTATATACCTAAATATAAATATACCTGGTCATTCCCGCTCTGCACGGCCTCGATTGTTTCTGCATGTGGGCAGGACTGTCATAACAAGGACCCTCAGGGCTCATTTTGTTGTGAAACCCGGCAATAAAAAGCATGGAGCTCATAATACGCTTGGGTGGTATGAAGGTATTTTGTTAAACCGTGGGATTAGAATATGGTGACGGAATATAAAAATGTCCTGTGAGGTGAAGCCAAATCTCCACAAGGCTGATATAAAACCTGGGACATAAACTTTAAAGGCCTTTCCAGAAGACACTCCTTAACGTTACTGATGCGTGTTCTGACCACCTCAGCTCATTTATAAGACAGAGGAGGGGGTAGTAGAGACACCACCGTCTGTCATGCCTCTTAATCTCTGAGAGTGGTAAAAATAAAACAAACAAACAAACTAACTTATAGTGAATTAGTGACAGACATGTTACTCGCTGGCTCCTGAAAAGATGGGCGGGCTGGTGCCGACTCACTAAGCATGCAGCAGCGTTGATACGACCATGAAAAGAGTCAGATTATTTTGAAACTTCAAACCCCTAAAAAGATGTAGCTGTTCTTGTTTTTGACCTGTTCGACACAACAAGGGGCAAAGTCATTCTGTGACTCCTGCTGCTCTGAGTGACAGCAACGTCAGAGCAGCTGAGTTTTCTTTTCTCTGCCTCTCTCTGACTCAATGCATGTAAATGCAAAAACACAGTTTCTCTGTTAGTTTTTAATCGTTCAACTCGCCACAGAGATCTGATCAATGGCCAACTTCAAACTGAGTCCAGCAGTCTGGCCTGAACAGAACCCCAGGTGGGTTCCAGAAATTGGGCTGGAAGTTGGTTATTGTGGCTAAAGCAAATACGCAGAACCTGAGTTTAAACCCAGGTCGGTCTGGGCCGGGACGGGCCGGCTAATGCAAAAATACCAATGGGCACCCACACCTAGGGACAATTCAGAGGAGGAGTGTCCAATCCTGGTCCTCAAGGGCCACCATCCTGCACGTTTGACTTGTTTCTCTGCTTCAACACAACGGCTTCTATGATTTATTTACCTCTTCAAGTTCTGAAGAAGCCCGTTAATCACCCATTCATTCAAATCAAATGTGCTGGAACAACTGGCACGAAACGTGTATTTTCTATTACACAATTATAGAACATGTAGTTACTAAATTTCCTAATAGCTGCAGCTCTAAGATAATTCTTACCTACAATCTGCCCCCTCACTGCGTCACTGTCGGAGGAGTTCAGCTTACACAGATCGAGACGCTGGTCTGGAAGAGAAAATAAAAATATATTTGTTTAAAACAACCGTGTTAAATTTGGAGCAAGATGAAAATAGTTATATTTTAAACCAGGGGTTGAAATTTTTAATTACATCCTGTGTCTTTTAGCCTGCTGATAGCGTTGGAAAGCAGGCGTATGCACCCCAAAAAACCTGCCCCCTGTCGTTTATGGATCTTCTTATGGTTCCATATACTGATGGTGATGGAGTCTGTCTTTCCAATGTAGCTGAAAAACAAATAATATTAGCATATATATANATCCTATGGGAGGAAAGGCACGGAGGATTTTAAAAATCAGCTACCTATAAATAATGATTTAACATGCATTATTATATATATATATACAGTTAGGTCTATATCTGTTTAGACACGGACAGGAGTTTTTTTACCTGTTTACAGAAATATATTCAAGTTATAGTTATATAATGGACATCGACATAAAGTGCAAACTTTCAGCTTTCATTTGAGGGTATCTACATGAAAACTGAATGAATGGTTTAGCTCCTCAACATGTGCCCACACTGCTTTTAAAATGTTGTCTCTGTCCAAATAGAAATGGCCTAACTGTATATTTAAAGACAATGAAATCAAGATGAARTGTCTCAATGTCAACCAACAGTTTAACAGCAAATAAAAGCAACTGCTTTCATAAAACAAACTAAGAATATTTATAAAATTCTACTTTTTCTGTTCATTCACTGAATGTAAGTTTTAATAAAACCTTCAACAAGAGAAAGCTGAGTGAGTTGCAGGGAGACTCACAGGTCATAATGCTGATTCCACTTGGGATCTAGTGTGCTCTTGACTGTGTCTGTGGAGTGGCACTGACCCGACCCGTCCACCACGACCTTGGCAAATGGATCCGGTAGGCCTGCACGCACACAGTGTGAATCAAAACCAAGCGTACGGTTTCAAATAAACATTGTGAACGTCCCTTTGTTTTGGGAAACACCGCAGAGAGCATTAAAACAAACGTATGCACGACAGTCATTATAACCAAATAATATTGTGAAAACACCGAAGCACAAGTACTTACGAAAGAAGTCTTTCTTTGCGAGGTTCTTGGCACATAATACTACAAAAGACACACACATACAAAAAAGTATGAACAAAATGCTACATGCATAAACATGTAGCTGATCACAGAGTGTAGGCTGCTGTAATGAATTCTGCTGCATAAAATCTGAGAGGAGGAAGAATGTGGGTTTATGAATGCCAGAGGACTGTGTGATGCAGAGAAAAGTAAAGTATACGGTTCTGTCAAGGTTATTGCATACACACACAAAAACAATACATTCACAGCAAGGTGGAATAACATGTTTTCTGCACGATCATCTCTTTGGGCGCAGCTAACAAATTGTTGAGGACTGTGTGAAACTGCAAGGTACCGTACATGTGGTAATTTCATGTTGTACAAGACTAACAATAAAAACACAACTGAACCACAGCTAATTTAGGAAACAGCTCACCTCTTAATTACAGAACATGATCTTTTGGTTCACTGCTGATGTAATGGACCTTTGACTCCACAAACGTACTGCAAAACATAATTAGCCTTGGCAGTATCTAACCCTTCAGGCTTGGTGTCAATTTCTGAATATGTACTTTAATTAGATCCATTAAATTTCTTTTAAAACCTAAAATAATCTATTAGGAAGTAGTTCATTGCATTTTTTTAATTTCCCTTTGTACCACTAAAACCATAACGCTCATGAACTCTTGAACAATCTGGGACATTTACACCACAATTCTGTATCAGAAAACTTTACTTAGAAAGTATTTTATTTAAATTAAGATGTTATATTCCTTTAGCTTTGTAACTAAGAGAGTACACAGAAATATAAATATGTCAACATGCATTGTTTTACAAGATTTACACAAATATAAAGCTTTAAATACCATTTATCATAAAACAAAAAGTTTTGAAGCACAAACTCTAAACATAAAAAACATAACAGCTTGATCATAATGAAAGAATCTGAAGGATGGTTAATAAAATCCAAACTATAGTGTTTTTATTTTAGATAAAAGTAAAGCTGGGACACTAAGACACTAATTAGAAAATCTGAGAAGATTTTTTTCTATTTTACATTTAGAGCCACAAACTGACTACAGCTTAAAATGTCACGAGTTGTGCTTCTAGTACAAAAAAATTGTAAGAATTTTCTGGATAATGGTAGGAAAAAACACTGATCACCCAAGCTACAGACACATATAAAACCAGTTTCAGACTYACATTAAAACAATTAACTAATATGCAGAATAATCAATTCTGAATTTATTTATTTATTGAGTTCCTGAAAACACTAAAAACGCTTCCTGCTGACTGAGTAAAAGTGAGGCAATAGTTGCAACAGTCACATGATGAAAACTGCCAGTATCGTCTCAGCCGCTGCTTGATCAGATAAATCTTATCTTGATCCAAAATCTGGATTTATTTTTCTTCCCAATAAACTATCTAAGAAATGCACAAGGGAGACGGTGGTTTAGGATGTGGTGACTGAGGTGGCGGACATGTGTCTGGCATAAGGGGTGTATTTCCTGTGATTAACCCATGGAGAATGGCTGCAGGATATCCTTCCCTCTCCCTCGTCAAGCCCCTTTCATTCCTCCTCCATCTGACTCATGCATTCCTCAGAAGACCTCATCTTTTCATCAGACATAACCAAACAGAGAGACGAAAAGAATCATGTGCCTGATCTCTGACTCCTCTTTCACTGAAGCCTTATACAGGAAGTCTCTCCTGTCTGTCCTGCTGGGCTATCCACACTTCTAATCTTCCAAACTTCCTCTAAAGTCAGAAGACAACCTCAAATACGCCTATTCATAGAGCTGGGCGGTATGGCCAAAAATTTATATCACGGTATTTTCAACATTTACACCGGTTTGACGGTTTTTGACAGTATTTTTCTTTTCATCACAGGTCAGCTGATAATAAAATGTACAAACCCTGCTTATTAACTTTTTTTCTTTTACTGTACCTCTGTCTGTGTCGCTGTTTCCCTCCTCTGTGTGTCTTTTCTCCTCCTGGTTGTAGACAGTAGTCATGCATTTTGATCCGGTCGTGAAGGAGGAGGGTTACGAAAAGTTTATGATCGGGTTTATTGTTTT